GAGTTTTTTTGAAAAAACTCGGTACAACTTGGTACTCGGTACTCGGTATTGCGCTGTTTTGGTCTAAAACCGAACGTAGAGGAGCGTACGTTCATTGGATGTAATAAAAGTTCCATTTTGAGAGGGCGTGTAAGTAAGAATGCATTGTACCTTCTTGCCACATCATCACACTAATCTTGCCACATCAGCTCATCCCTAACCTACATCTATTTCTATATATTTGTACATTTTTGTAATTACTGAAATGAATGAAATCCTTTTATATTCCTCTTTTCAGATTATCTACACTGATCAGTGCCAAGCTACGGCACCGAGCACAGAGTCGGGGTGATGCGGCGCATTCTGGTTGGTCTCCGAATGACATTCGGTGTCCGTAAAGAATAATTAATCTATTGAAAGACATATAAATACATTAACGATACATATTGTACTCAAAAGTTAGTAAAATTATGTACTATATAATTGTAAAATGATTACATGAAAATTAAGATAAATAAAATGACTATAACAATTAAACAAAGAACTAAAAAAATTAAATAACTAAATAAATAAAGTATTTGAAATAAATTTTTATGCTAACTAACTCAATTTATCATTTGAAAATTATCTCATTGTATATATAGATATCATGGAAATCTATGGATATTGTTGCGTCCTGGAATATTCGCGGCGGTAGAGAAATATATAGTTTAACGTCTTAGCGTTGTACGAAGATCCAGCACACAATCAGATAAGTGAGAGGGTGTAGCGTTCATAAGAGACACCAAAGTTTTTACGTGGAAAACCCCTGAAAAGGGGGGAAAAACCACGGGGCCTAGCCCAGTTTGAATGAATCCACTAGTATTTATAGTCGATTACAAATGAGGCCTTTCCTTAGGAGAAGGCCTTGGATTGATGTAGCAAATATACATCATATAGATTGTATTACATGGTAGGAATTATTTATACATGTTTGTCTGGTCGGAAGGACCGTAGTCGGCAGGAGACCGGGGTCAGAAAGACCATTGTCTGTTGATGGAG